CTTTACCAGGTATACTCAACAGACTTCTCCCCCTTTAATTTTTGCACTCTCTTTTGTCCCCTTTGCCTTTATACAAAGGAACTATGCATGCTCTCTGCCAATCCCTAGGTACCTTATCTTCTTCCATACATTTATTAAATAATAGCACCAACCACTCCAAAACTATATCCCACCTGCTTTTAACATTTCTATCTTTATCCCATCAATGCCAGCTGCCTTACCCCCTTTCGTTCTACCTACTGTGTCACGAACTTCCCCCACACTCACTACTGGCTCTTCCTCACCCCTACAAGATGTTATTCCTCCTTGCCCTATACACGAAATCACAGCTTCCCTATCTTCATCAACATTCAACAATTCCTCAAAATATTCCCTCCATCTTCCCAATACCTCAAACTCTCCATTGAATAACTCTCCTCTCCTATTTTTAACTGACAAATCCATTTGTTCTCTAGGCTTCCTTAACTTGTTAATCTCACTCCAAAACTTTTTCTTATTTTCTACAAAATTTGTTGATAACATCTCACCCACTCTCTCATATGCTCTCTTTTTACATTGCTTCACCACTCTCTTAACCTCTCTCTTTTTCTCCATATACTCTTCCCTCCTTGCATCACTTCTACTTTGTAAAAACTTCTCATATGCTAACTTTTTCTCCCTTACTACTCTCTTTACATCATCATTCCACCAATCGCTCCTCTTCCCTCCCGCACCCACCTTCCTGTAACCACAAACTTCTGCTGAACACTAACACTACATTTTTAAACCTACCCCATACCTCCTCGACCCCATTGCCTATGCTCTCATTAGCCCATCTATCCTCCAATAGTTGTTTATATCTTACTCTAGCTGCCTCCTCTTTTAGTTTATAAACCTTCACCTCTCTCTTACCTAATGCTTCTATTCTCCTTGTATCCCATCTACCTTTTACTCTCAGTGTAGCTACAACTAAAAAGTGATCTGATATATCTGTGGCCCCTCTATAAACATGTACATCCTGAAGTCTACTGAACAGTCTTTTATCCACCAATACATAATCCAACAAACTACTGTCATTTTGCCCAACATCATATCTTGTATACTTATTTATCCTCTTTTTCTTAAAATATATATTACCTATAACTAAACCCCTTTCTATACGAAGTTCAATCAAAGGGCTCCCATTATCATTTACACCAGGCACCCCAAACTTACCTACCACACCCTCTCTAAAAGTTTCTCCTACTTTAGCATTCAGGCCCCCTACCACAATTACTCTCTCACTTGGTTCAAAGGTTCCTATACATTCACTTAACATCTCCCAAAATCTCTCTCTCTCCTCTACATTCCTCTCTTCTCCAGGTGCATACACGCTTATTATGACCCACTTTTCACATCCAACCTTTACTTTAATCCACATAATCCTTGAATTTACACATTCACATTTTCTTTTCTCCTTCCATAACTGATCCTTCAACATTATTGCTACCCCTTCCTTAGCTCTAACTCTCTCAGATACTCCATGTTTAATCCCATTTATTTCTCCCAAGCGAAACTCCCCTACCCCCTTCAGCTTTGTTTCGCTTAGGACCAGGACATCCAACTTCTTTTCAGTCATAACATCAGCAATCATCTGTTTCTTGACATCCGCACTACATCCACGCACATTCAAGCATCCCAGTTTTATAAAGTTTTTCTTCTTCTCTTTTTTAGTAAATGTTTACAGAGAAGGGGTTACTAGCCCATTGCTCCCGGTATTTTAGTCGCCTTATACGACACGCATGGCTTACGGAGAGAAGATTCTTTACCACTTCCCCATGGACAATAGAAGAAATAAAGAAGAACAAGAGCTATTTAGAAAAAGGAGAAAAAACCTAGATGTATGTATATATATATATATGCATGTGCATGTCTGTGAAGTGTGACCAAACTGTAAGTAGGAGTAGCAAGATATCCCTGTTATCTAGCGTGTTTATGAGACAGAAAAAGACACCAGCAATCCTACCATCATGTAAAACAGTTACAGGTTTCTGTTTCACAGTCATCTGGCAGGACGGTAGTACTTCCCTGGGTGGTTGCTGTCTACCAACCTACTACCCTTTATATAAAGGGACTATACATGCTCTCTGCCAATCCCTAGGTACCTTCCCCTCTTTCATACATTTATTAAACAAAAATACCAACCACTCCAACACTATATCCCCCCTGCTTTTAACATTTTTGTCATGATCCCAACAGTTCCAGCTGCTTTAACTTCTTTCATTCTATGTAATGCCTCACGCACCTCCCCCACACTCACATCCTGTTCTTCTTCACTCCTAAAGGATGGTATACCTTCCTGGCAAAACAACCACCGTGAAAGAATAGAGAAATTCCAAGCACTTTTGTGACTACTCACATTATCAAGGAACAATAAAAGTAATGCATCAAGGAAGGCACATAAAGGGTCTAGACCACACCTCACTATCACATCCCACAACAAAGCAACACCTGATGTGCGACTCATAAGAAAGAGAACACTGCAGCAGGCCCACTGGCCCAACTAGACTGGTCCTTCACACAACCCATGAACAAACTATTCTACCCAAGAATTAAGAATTTTAAAATTATTATTTGTCCAATGTATTACTAAATTCTTCCCAAATTCTATTAATTATAAATGTATCTAATTTATATAAACCAAAGGAAATATTCATATTATTGTCAAAACTGCTTTTTATGAAACAAGATTCAATTATTTTCCTGTCGACCATGGACTTGCTTGATAACAACTTTCTCAACTTTTTGAAAATCAATTGGATGGTTAAAATCTCTCACATGAATAAATAGAGCATTGGAATCTTGTCCAGTTTTAATGCTATATTTCTTTCTTTCTTTCAACGCACCAGCCGTATCCCACCGAGGTGGGGTGGCCCAAAAGGAAAAACGAAAGTTTCTCCTTTTAAATTTAGTAATATATACAGGAGAAGGGGTTAGTAGCCCCCTGCTCCTGGCATTTTAGTCGCCTCTTACAACACGCATGGCTTACGGAGGAAGAATTCTGTTCCACTTCCCCATGGAGATAAGAGAAAATAAACAAGAACAAGAACTAGAAAGATAATAGAAGAAAACCCAGAGGGGTGTGTGTATATATATATGCTTGTACATGTATGTGTAGTGAGACCTAAGTGTAAGTAGAAGTAGCAAGAGGTACCTGAAACCTTGCATGTTTATGAGACAGACAAAAGACACCAGCACTCCTACCATCATGTAAAACAATTACAGGCTTTCGTTGTACACTCACTTGGCAGGACGGTAGTACCTCCCTGGGTGGTTGCTGTTTACCAACCTGTTTACCAACTTAGGAATGCTATATTTATGTTGTTTTAATCTTAGTTCGAGACTTTTACCAGTTTGACCGTAATAAACTTTATCGCAAATTTTACAAGGAATCTTATACAGTGGACCCCCGCTTAACGATCACCTCCAAATGCGACCAATTATGTAAGTGTATTTATGTAAGTGCGTTTGTACGTGTATGTTTGGGGGTCTGAAATGGACTAATCTACTTCACAATATTCCTTATGGGAAAAAATTCGGTCAGTACTGGCACCTGAACATACTACTGGAACGAAAAAAGTTCGTTAACCGGGGGTCCACTGTACACACATCCGTCAGCATTTTGGGGGGAATTCTTTTTCTAAAGTTTTTTTTTACTGTATCAAGATTTTTAAACACAACTTTGATATTAAAAGTATTAATTAGAGAAGGCATATCAACCAAGTTTTCATGGTAAGGGAGAACCAACATATTTTTAGTTGAATAAGGATGGTTGTCCCTTTTTGGATTGTAAAAAGTATTTCCAGCAATTTTAAAAGATTTATCAGTTACGTTTCTTGGGTATTTCAAATCATTAGCTATTTCATAAATTTTGGATATTTCCTCATCTATGAACTCTGGACTACAAATACGTAAAAAACATTGATGAGAAAACAGACAGTTTAACTCTATCTTGATGTGAAGAATAATAGTGCACATAGGAACAGTTATTTGGGCAGTTGCTGTCTACCAACCTACTACCTAGAACTCAGTAAACTTATTCCTCCATAATTTTCACAATCTCTTTTGTCCCCCTTCCCTTTATATAAAGGAATTATATGTACACACTCTGGCAATCCCTAAATACCTTCCCCTCTTTCATACATTTAATGAACAAAAATACCAACCACTCCAATACTATATCCCCCCTACTTTTAACATTTGTCATGATTCTGTCAGTTCCAGCTGCTTTACCCACTTTCATTCTATGTAATGCCTCTTGCACCTCCCCCACACTCACATCTGGCTCCTTCACTCCTACAAGATGTTATACTTTCCTGGCCAGTGCATGAAATTACTGCTTCCATCACTTCATCAACATTTAAAAGTTCCTCAAAATGTTCCTGCCATCTACCCAATACCTCCAGCTCCCCATCTAATTCCCCTAATCTGTTTTTAACTGACAAATCCAACTGTTCCCTAGGCTTTCTTAACCTGTTTATCTCACTCCAAAATTTGTTTTTATTCTCAGCAAAATCTGCTGACAGTGCCTTGCCCACTATCATTTGCTCCCCTTTTGCACTCTCACCACTCTCTTCACCTTTGCTTTACTCTCCAATATACTCTGCCCTTCTTATACAACTTCTGCTTTGTAAAAACCTCTCATAAGTGACCTTTTCCTTTTTTCTCTTTAATGGTTATAATTATGGCCATAATTTTTAAAGGGGTAGACCGGTAAGCCAGCAGAAGCCCTCATCGGATGACCAGAATCTCCAATGACGAGTCATCATCTGACTAAGACCTGTGTCAGGAAATATTTGTCCTGTTTCCTGACAAACCTTACCTAACCTAACAAGGAAAAGCAATATGATACAAAGCTACTGAAACATTACTACAGTAATAAAAAAAAATATACATGTATTTAGGTCCCCCATAGGAACTGTACACGTTACCTTTAACACTTTCTCGTCAAGAAGAGCTGCTTGTTCCTTGGGAAGACATACCTTACATACTTTCTCCTCAAGCAGAAGAGCTGCTTGTTCCTTGGGAGGACAACTCTCAACATAGGATCTGAAAGATGGCAGTTTACGGATGATGTCTAGCTGTGCTGGTGTCATGGCCCTCACTACTGATGCTCTCTCTGGTGCAGGACAACACAGGAAGGCTGATGAGTTATTCATAAAATGTTGCATCATACACAGCTGAAAGAAAATAAAAAAAGTACACACACAGAAAATTAAAGATAAAATACAAAATTATTTTTATGATTCTGTACCAAAATATTGTGTTTACAGAAAATAAGCACTTGCATATTCTGATGTTTCAGTGATTTGAGGTGTTTTCTGCTTTTTTTTTTTTTTTCTAACACTGGCCATCTCCTAACTGAGGCAGAGTGACCTGGAAAAGAAATATTTTCACTGTCATTGACATTATTAATGTTTGGCCAGTGGCACACAGATGCAACAGTTTAGATGTCACTCTAAACAGCCAATATCCCAAACCCTTCCTTTAGAGTGCAAGCACTGTACTTCCCACCTCCAGAACTCAAGTCCGGTTAACCAGTAAAAAGTCTAAAAATATATTGAATTAGTTGTGGCTGCTATGTAAGCCAAGAGATATAAGATGGTGGTATATAAACCTTGTACCCCATTACCACAGACTTGTCTTGTGCATATAAAATTTTAGCTACAATATGCATAAAAGCAACAAAATTCATGTTTTATTTTGTAGAACACAGATTATATCTGCACTGCTTTTCTCCAATGTCTGTACAGTGTAGTCATCCTATAGGTTTCATAACATTCACAAATTATCACATACTAATATGCAAACTTGGCATATCAAATCTTACCAGAATTATGCAGGACTTTATAAAGAAATGAATTACAGGTATGAGAGCAATAACTTACTCTGTTTACCTCTGAATCTGAAAGCTAAGTTTACAAATGGTTAGCTATAATTTCTGCATGCTGAGTGGCTTTTAATGACCTGGCTTAAATGTTTTTTATAACTTACTGACTTCAAGCCAAGATATTATAGTAATGAGCAAATCTGTTCTGTCAGTAGCAAATATAAAATTCGTCTTTCAACAAACCGGCTATATCCCACTGAGGCAGGGTGGCCCAAAATGAAAAACAAAAGTTTCTGTTCATAACTTTAATACGGTATACAGGAGAAGGGGTTATTAGGCCCCTGCTCTCGGCATTTAAGTTGCCTCTTATAACACGCATAGCTTACAGAGTAAGAATTCTATTCCACTTCCCCATGGAGATAAGAGGAAAGAAACAAGAACAAGAACTAGCAAGAAAATAGAAGAAAACCCAGAGAAGTGGGTACATATATGCTTGTACATGTATGCATAGTGTGACCTAAGTATAAGTAGAAGTAGCAAGACGTACTTGAAATCTTGCATGTTTACGAGACAGAAAGAAAGACACCAGCAATCCTACCATCATGTAAAACAATTACAGGCTTCCATTTTACATACACTTGGGAGGATGGTAGTACCTCCCTGGGTGGCTGCTGTCTACCAACCTACTACCCACGTAAACATAAAATATTATATAAAACATGTACAGCACAATGCTCTCTCTCTCTCTCTCATTTAGTAAGTATGTACAATCATATTCATATTCTTAATTTCAGCATGATACAATGTTTGTATAGAGATGGATGACATTAGTTGTGCATTCAGAAAATCCACTATTATGCAGAGCATTTCAGGCAAACTTACACCTATCTTAGGAGTAAAAAAGGCAATAATTGATTGATTACTTATATATACAGTCTCTAAGGAGCCATAAACACTAAATTTAGGAATTGCAAGTAACACAAGAGAACTGCTTAGCATATCACCACATTTTCTAAGACATTTATCAAACTTAATTTTTTAAGGATTACAGGTTGGATTATGATTACAGGTAATGAAAATAAGAATAGTATATAATTTTTCATATGCTTGTGGTAATGAGTACCAGGATGCACTACTCATTATCAAGGAAGAAGACACCCTCAGAGACAGACTCCTAATATCAGCTTTCATTGGCATTTCCTGTCACTTCAACCTGAACAACAGTTTCTATAATATAAATGAACCTCCTGCCAAGAAAGTTCTAGACTGTCTTTCTACATAACAGCTCAGAGAACTACAATGATCAGCAAACCTTATGCTACTCCTATGACCTACCAACCTCACACCACTGCAATGACCCATGCACCACTTACCTTGTTGAAGAAATAGACATACGTACATATGTGCAACTTCTGGGTATCTTTAATTTGTAGACATTTTGCCATCCAGTGACTATCAATATAAGGGTGCATAATGTGAAGACTGTAGAAATATATACAAAAGATGAGGTAATCAATCCCTCAGCTTAGGAGTAGGTGATGAGACTGCAATGCTCATCACCTATGGTTAGTAGACAACAAACTATCATTATACCTAGGGAAAACTGAAGCCATTCTCTTTGGCACGAAACATAAACTGAGAAGGGTAAATAATTTTAATGTTCAGTGTAATGGGGAGCCCATCACTTTGGTTTCATCAGTAAAATATCTGGGAATCCCCTTTGACCCATGCATGTCAGGAGAATTGATAGGGAACAGTGTAGTAAAGAAAGCGAATGCCAGACTGAAGTTCCTGTATAGACAAGCACAGTGTCTACCTACTGAGGCTCACAGGACCCTATGTCTAGCCCTTATACAATGCCATATGGATTACGCTTGCTCTTCCTGGTACTCTGCCTTGACAAAAAAAACTGAAAGATAGACTGCAAATCACCCAGAACAAAATTGTAAGATTCATCCTGGGGCTGGGACCAAGAGAACATGTAGGCCAGGATGAATTACAGCAGTTGGATATGCTGAATGTTGAAGACAGAGTAAAACAACTGAAGATAAATCACGTTTATAAAATTGCTCACAAACAATGTCCAGAATATCTTGCTGTCAATTTTGTCAAGGTTGGGAAGCAAAGCAATCATAGTACTAGGGGGAGAGAGCACAACTTTGTAGTACCCACAGTCATTGGCCAGGCGTCAAACACCTTTTATTGTACAGCAATAAAGGAATGGAACAGACTGCCTGCACATGTCAAAGCCAGTCATAGCATGAACCAGTTCAAGAAGAGTACCAAAAGGTGTCTGATAAATGTAGCTACAGAAAGGGAGGGGGAATGATTTTCTATTTTTTAGCTAACATACGTGTAAATTTTACCTTATTCCTAGTACGTAATGACCCTCGTATTGTAGATAGTCTTAATGACCCTCGTGTAGTAGATAGTCTTTTTAGTATGATAATAAGATGTTATCTTCATTGTAGATAATAAGAAAATATTATAAGCTTTATATTATAATAATAAGGTAAAAGGACCCCAATGGAAATAAGTCACTCTGTCTGACTTTTTTGGGTTATCCCAGGTTCTCTACACATATGCTATGTATGATTATTCTATGTAACTGTATTTGTGTATACCTGAATAAACTTACTTACTTACTTATTCTAGTCTTCACAAAGTCACCGGATGGTGAAACATCTACAAATTAAAGATAATCAGATGCGACACCCACAAATTATTGCTTGAAAAGCAGTATTTTAACTTTTCCGGTTTCCAAAAAAATGCAAATTGGGACCCACACAGGTCAAAATCAATCCAAACTTTTCTCCACAATTGACCACATTTTAAGAAAGTAAGTACAGTAAGTTTTATGTAAGCCTAGTAAAGGAAGGCCTCACTTATGCAGCTTCCTCTTTTCAGTGTCCCACATTTTCAGTGGCTTTCAACTGAGCCATTGTTCATTATGTAAGGAGCTTCTACCGCTTCTTTGCCATTTTTGTACAACAGTTGCATAAGGGAAGGATGACCAGTGCCATATTTTAACCTGTTAACTGTCCAAACATAGATCTATATTGCCGCTGCAAGCACTCCAAATATTTTGAAAAAAAGAAAAAATAAATAAATAAATAAAGAGGGCAATTTTTTGTGTAATAAGATGTTGCAGTATGGAGTGTTTAACATTAGGTCACTGATCCTTGATGGGGTATCAGTTGCTATGTTGGCTATTGTCTAGGGGAGAACTCCAATAGCAACAAGGTTTTAGCACTGCAAATACAGCCTTCTTAACCAAGGACTTTGTTAACTTTTCTTTCTGTAAAGTCCATGTCTTTAATAACAATAAAACTTAGATAGGATCTTCATATCTCTATGAACCATAATCTTAATAGAAAGCAATAAAATTACTTATCTTTTTCCTTTATACATAAAGGGTACACAGCTATTGTTACGACACAAGAGTTTACTGGGAAGACATAATTCTCATTTGTAGAGTTAGGCAATCAATATATGACATGAAGTAACTGATATACTCATCAATGTCTTCACAAAGACATTAAATCCAAATTATCCATACAGGAAGTTTTATTGATAATCCTGTGCAAGGGATATGTATATGAATAGAGAAATCTAGAAATCAGATAGGACTAGGTGTGGGTGTACAAGGCAGAGTACTACTTGGGAGTGAGTGTGTGAACCTACTGACTGTACCAGTGCGCGGTGAGCTGACGTCAGGTTGGATCACGTGACTGAGGGAGACAGACCAGTACCTGAACTAGTAACCAGCACTAACACACGGAGGACCCGGGTTCGATTCCCGGCGGGTGGAAACATTTCGACACGTTTCCTTACACCTGTTGTCCTGTTCACCTAGCAGCAAATAGGTACCTGGGTGTTAGTCGACTGGTGTGGGTCGCATCCTGGGGACAAGATTAAGGACCCCAATGGAAATAAGTTAGACAGTCCTCGATGACGCACTGACTTTCTTGGGTTATCCTGGGTGGCTAACCCTCCGGGGTTAAAAATCTGAACGAAATCTTATCTTATCTTAATGGTTTCCCACTACATGAAAATCGCTTAATATTAATGCCTAACAAAACAATATAATACAATAAGTATTAGCATTAACATATTTATAATAAAATATAGAGCAATATCCTACTGGAATATATCTCATATACAAAATATTGGGCAAGGGCATAATTTGCAACATAAGACCCCCCCCCCAAAAAAAAAAAAAAAAAATTAGGATCAGTACTTACCGAGATATCAGGCCACGATGTTGGCTGGATGCTCACCTGACAGCAATATTGAGTTCTGCCACTTGCAGAAGTGCTGCCCATATACATTTTTTCTCATTTTTCAAAT